TAGATTTCAACTTTTTCACAATAAAAGGTTGAGAGTGAGGAAAATAAAGTACAATGCTGTAAATCAGTACTTCTAGGGATCCACAAAACTTTCAGGGTGTCCACAAAGCCCAAACCATTTTCACAATAATGATGTCATTTGCCTTCTCACAGTGCTGACTGACATCCGCACAGACAGCACGAAGGCAGTGGTGGCTGAAGCCGGCGTCGCATCGCCAGGACTCTGAAGTGCACCAGGAGCCACAGTCTTCACTGCCACACACCTCAGTTAAAGAGTAAAGTGCAGCTCGGTTGGTGTGGCTCACTGGATTGAGCGCCATCCCATGGACTGAGAGGTCCCGGTTCGCTTCCCGGTCGGGACTCATGCCTAGGATGTGGGCCCAATCCCCAGTAGGGGGCGTGCAGGAGGCAGATGATCGGTGTTTGTCTCTCACATCAATGTTTCTCTCTCTCCCCCTTCCTCCCTTTCTAAAAAAAAAAAAAAAATCAGTAAAAACATTTAAAATAAAACTCTAGTTTCACATTAGAAAAAGCCTTTGATGGATTAAAAAGTATGAATTGTATCATATCACAACCCTTGAACGCACTAATACTCTGTGTGACAACACAAGTATGCATGGAGCACCCCTGCTGTGTACCAGGCAGGTGGCTGCACTGTAAGAGCATCACCGCCGGAGTGGGGGGCTGAGCCCGCAACTCGTTCTCTGGCCCCAGTCCTCACTGGACCCTGACACACCACGCTTCACAGACTTGAGTCTTAGGCAGCGCGGGCCTCTTGCTGTCAGACATTTTCATTGAGGTAATTTATACCAATGAATAACTTTCAACTTTTAAGCAAAAACAAAAATTCTGGAGAACTTTTATCTACCACTGTGAACTTGATAGCTCTCCAATACTTACAGGCTTTTCTGATGAGTTTAGAAGTGATATTAATTAGATTTTTTGATACTGTGAGCTCATTTGAAAGATTTACATGAATCAGTAAATCAGTTCATTTACATGAACCCTCCATTGATTTTGAGAGAGAGTGGAGGGAGAAACACTGATGTAAGAGAGCCTTATCGACCTCCCACACAACCCTGACCAGGGCCAGGCCTCAAACATGCAACCCAGGTATGTGCCCTTGACTGGGAATCAAACCTAAGACCCTTTGGTCCAAGAGCCAGTGCTCTAACCACTTAGCAACTGGCCAGGGCTCTTTGTCTTTTTTTATTTTTTTGCTTTTAGAGAGAGAAAGGAATGGGGACAGAGAGGGAAGAAAGGGAGAGGGAGACAGAAAGGGGAAGGGGTGAGGGAGAAGGAGGGAGGGGGAGAGAGAGAACACTGATTTGTTGTTCCACTTATTTATGCATTCACTGGTTGATTCTTGTATGTACCCTGATCTGGGATAAAACCCAAAGCCTCGACGTATCCAGACGATGCGCTAACCTACTGAGCTACCCAGCTAAGGCCTATTAAGCCAAACTTTAAAGAAAGTTGCAAAAAATGTAAAACAATGCTATTCTACTCACTGTATTTTTTTTTTTTTTGGTACATGCCCCTAGCGGGAACCGAACCCAGGACTCTCTGGTCCGCAGGTTAACGCTCCAACCGCTGAGCCAAACCGGCCAGGGCCTACTCACTGTATTTTTAAGAAAATTTTTTCATAATGTCCTGGCTGGTAAGCCTCAGTGGTTAGAGCACTGGCCCAAAGACTGAAGGGTCAGGGCTTCGATTCTCAGGCAAAGGCAGGTAGCTGGGTTGCAGGTTCGATTCCTGGCCCTGGTAGCAGTCATGAGGGAGGCAACCAATCAATGTCTCCCTTACATTGATGTTTTGTGCGCGTGCTCTTCTCTCTCTCTCTCCCCCACCCCCTCCCTTCTACACTATCTTAAAAAAAAAAGTCATTGGAAAATTATCCTCGCATAAAGATTAACCATGAAAAAAAAATTATGTTAACATATATCGGTTTTTAACTATTTACTTTTAATTTTTTTTTATTTTAGAAAGAAGGGGGGGCTAAGAGAAACACTGACATGAGAAAGAAATTTCAATCGGTTACCTCCAACACACACCCCGACCAGGGATCAAACGCACAACCTGGGCATATGCCCTGACCAACACACACCCTGACCAGGAATCAAAAACCTATGACCTTTCAGAGCACAAGATAGTGCTCAACCAGCTGAGCCGCACCAGCCAGAGCACCTCACTGTCATTCTAATGTGAAACACTAACAAGTATTTTTTAAATGTTTTCACTTCTCTGTTTTTTAATAAAATAATTTTCTTTATTGATTTTATATCCTCACCCAAGGACATTTTCCACTTTTTGTTCAGAGAGAGTGGGAGGGAGAAAGAGGAAGAGAGAGAAATATCAACGTGAATGGGACACATCAAGTGGCTGCCACCCGCACGACCAACCGGGACCGGGGACAAACCACAACCAAGGTACGTGCCCTTAGCGGGAACCGAACCCGGGTCTCTCTGGACCTCAGGCCGACGCTCTAACCGCTGAGTCAAACCGGCCAGGGCTTCTTTATTGATTTTAGAGAAAGAAGCGAGAGGGAGAGAACATAGAACTGGCTGCCTCCTGCATGCCCCCCACTAGGGACTGGGTCCACAACCTGGGCATGTGTCCTGACCAGGAATCAAACTGGCGACCTCTTGGTGCAGGGTCAACGCTCAACCACTGAGCCACACCGGCTGGGTTCATTTCTCTAATTTGATAAATATTGATATAATATATAATCAAAAGCTCTTGGGATTCTCAATAACTTTTTTAAGATTGTAAAGTGGCCCTGGCCGGTTTGGCTCAGCGGTTAGAGCGTCGGATCAAAGAGTTGCGGGTTTGATTTCCATCAAGGGCACATACCTTGGTTGCAGCCCTGGTTGGGGCTCATGCAAGAGGCAACCAATTGATGTGTCTCTCTTACACTGATGTGTCTTTCTTACATTGATGTTTCTCTCTCTGCCTCTCCCTCTTCCTCTCCCTCCTTCACACTCTGAAGAAAAATGGAAAAATATCCTTGGGTGAGGATTTAATGAAAACGACTGTAAAGTGGTTAAAATGATTTAACTATTGCTCTGGAAATCAATACATGTCATACACAATTTTCAATAAACCAAAAACTTCACTGAAGCATTAATGACTCCAATCTTGACAGCACACTGCCCTGGCTCCCGGCCCCCGAGCCAGTTAGTTCTGCCAAAATGAGCATTAAATACTCTTTCGACCTCGTGGGGCTCGGCACCTGAGGGGGCAGGAATACAGCACAATTACTTCGACAAGATTCCCAATCGGCTCTTTACAGAGGTAAGAGAAGAAAAATAAAATGAAGCCATAAAAAAGATACACTCATTCTTCAGTTGTTTAAAATTGGCTCAATTGACAAAAGGTTTAACAACTTCTCATTTTCAATAACAAATATATTAACACTGTACAAATATATTAAGCTACTTAAGTGAGGAAAATTTTAATAAAAAAGTAAAGTCAAGGAAATTATTCTCAATACCTATGCTGAAATGTTAGAATGACTTACATAATACATTAAGAACGAAGTTGGACCCTTAACTTACCACCATATACAAAAATTAACTCCAAATGAATCAGACTTAAATGTAAGGTTTAAAACTATAAAACCCTTAGAAAAAAACGGTTGAAAAGCTACATGATTCAATTTGGTAATGATTTCTTTTTTTTTTTTTTTAAATCCTCACCTAAGGATATTTCTCCATTTAACTTCAGATAGAGTAGGAGGAAGGGGGGGAGAGGGAGAGAGAGAAACATTGATGTGAGAGAGACACATGGACTGGTTGCCTCCATACAACCCCAACCATGGCTGGGGATGAACTGCAGCTGAGATATGCACCCTTGACCAGAACTGAACCCGTGACAATTTGGTCCGCAGGCTGACGCTCTGACCGCTGAGCCACACTAGCCAGGGCAGTATGACACCAGAAGCACAGGTAACAGAAGAAAAAATAAATTGGAGTTCACTGAAATTAAAGCTTGTGTGTACTAAAGCACACTGCCAAGTGAGTAAAGAGACAAGTCACAGAATGGGGGAATCTATGTGCAAATTATACAGCTAATAAGGGATTAGTATCAAGAATATATAAAGAACTCCTGTAAATCAACAACAAAAATACTCAATTAAAAAATGAGCAAAGTACATGAACAGACATTTCTCCAAAACAGATATACAAATGGCCAATAAGTACATGAAAAGATGTTCAACATCACTAGTTAGGAAAATGCAAATCATACCACAATGAGATACCATATTACAGCCATTTGAATGGCTATTACCAAAAAAACTCAGAAAATATGAGTTGGTGAGGATGTAAAGAAAGTAGGACCTGCGTGCAGTGCTGGAAGGAGCATAAAACGGCACAGCCAAGGTGGAAAACAGCTGGGCAGCTAACAAAGACCTACCTACCAGACAGAGCCACAATTCTACTCCTAGGTAAAGCAGGGACTCAGACAGCCAAAAGTGAGAACAACCCAAGTGTCCACCAAGAGATGAATGGATACAATGGAATATTATTCAGCCATAAAAAGAAGTGAAATTCTGATATAGGCTACAACATGGAAGGACCTTGACAAGATTATACTTAGTGAAATAACCCCCTTACATGAGGTACCTACAGTAGGCAAGTTCATAGAACAGAAAGTAGAATAGTGCTCACCAGGACTGGGAGGGAGTCAAGGGGCAGTCATATGAGTTGCTGTTTAATGGATACAGAGTTTTTGTTGGAGATGATTAAAATGTTTTGGGTATAGATAACTGTGATGGTTACACAGCATTGTGAATATATTTAATGTCACTAAATTATATATTTCCATATAATATTATATTTTAGCACACTATGAAAAAATGGTTACGTTTTTGAAAAATGACTTACATTTATTCTCTGCAAGAAAATTTACTTGCCATGTTTGTAATTTTCAAATTAAAAAATTAACGCGTTGAGCCCCAATGGAAATAAAGAATGTAAGCACTGGCGATGCTACACTTACTCGCTTGGGGCCACTGAAGATCTTCCTGGTGTTTTCCTTCGATTTATCTCCTGGTTTATTTGTGGGTTTCTTCACACTTTCAGGCACACCAGGCAAGTCCTCTGTAAAATCCAAGTTTTCTGAAATGGAATAAAACTAGCTAGCTTTTTAATATTTCAAATTATCTACCAAACAACCTACGAACATGTGGTGGGAGGGGCATACTGTGGGGAAAGAGGGGAAAGAGCAGAAGAATAAAAGCCCCACAGCTGGTAACACTCCCAGCAATGCTGCGTCACTCTCCCCTTCTCACCCCCTCGCCCCACTCCCAACCCCACTGAGAAAAAAATCAGAAACCTAGTTGCTCCAGTTTTATTTTGTATAAATGGTAAAATGCATTATTTTACAAAATAACTGCTGGACATCTACGAACACTGACATTGTATGGTCTAGTTAAACACACACATTACGTGGTATCTATGTTTAACATTTTCCTAGAATTTAAGGACACAGTCATGTCGGCCTTCAAAGCTGCCCATTTACATCTACAAAGATCACATTTATAAAAGAAAAATTTTTAAAGGATAGCTATCTTTGGCAGAAGACACAAAATAATCTGATACAATGTAGTTCAATGATTTATGGGGCTTTTCACACAAAACCAAAGATCAGATTAATGCCCAAAGGGAAATGTTTATTTTCAAACTTAAAAAAGAATAGAAAAACAGGAAGACATTCTCTAGGCCAAAGTTTTAAAATGTTTGCTATTTTATAAATTATAAGAACACTCAAATTCCAACTCAAATGGTCTCTAACATTTTTATTTGGTATCAAATTTAAGTTTCTGGACAGAACCCTACATTTTTCACATTTTAAATTTTTAAAAATTACATTAACCCAAGATGTAAATTTCAGCCACAAATTTCCAAATGCAGATTAAGATCATCTGCTAACAAGGCCAGCGGAGCGAAGGCACCTGCAGCAGGGCAGGGCTCAGGGCTCAGTGCCCCTCCCCCGGAGAGCAAGCCTGTCGCCCAGTGAGGTCTGCGGTGACCAGCAAGGTGCCTGCAAACTGCAGTTCTCCAGAAGAGTCACGACAACGTTAATAATTCTGAACATGTTATTTTATTTATTCTTTTTGCAGTGGGGGAGTCAGGGGTGACTCCTTACAGGATACTCCTGCATAATTCTAGTCTTGAAGAGTGAATTCTGACCTAGCAAAGTGAAATGGCGGGTGGTCTCAAGCCTGCGTGCGCTCTGTGGGAAACCCTAGGTGGAAGAACGCCACTGGCATCCTCATTCTCCTCCTCTGCGACCAGCAGGGCAAAAGCGCTGTCTAACAGAAAAGCTGGATCTGGTCAGATACAAACAGACGCAGCCCCTCCCCAGAGGCTTTCCCGCCCGTCCACACTCAGCAGCCAGCCCGCGTCACAAAGCCTGTGTGAGGTCGTGACTCCACTACAGCAAAGCTAACCTACTTCTTCTGTTTGTCGTCCACTTGAGGACCTCTAGTCTACTGGTCCTACTATCTTAAGAGACAAAGTTTCACCATTAAGAATGAATAAAAACTATCACTTTTCAATTTTATTAAGTCAGTTCAAGAGGATACTCTAAAAATAGTTTTTAAATTTTTTTTTTAATCCTCACCCAAGGACATTTTTGCATTTATCTTCAGATAGAGCAGGAGGAAGAGGGGGGAGGAAGAGAGAGAGAGAGAAACATTGATATGAGAGAGACACATCGACTGGTTGTCACCCACAACCCCAACCAGGGCCGGGGACAAACTGCAACAGATGTATGTGCCCTTAGCAGGAATCGAACCCGGGACTCTCTGGTCCACAGGCTGACGTTCTAATCATTGAGCCAAACCAGCCAGGGCTAAAAATTGTTTTGAATGAATTGTTTTCATTACTGATTTCAAAGGGAGAGAAAGGGAGAGGAAGAGAAACATCTATGTGAAAGGCAACATCCACGGGATGCCTCCTGCACGCCCCGACTGGGAATCCCACCAGAGACCTGTCTGTACACAGGAGGATGCTCAACCAACTGAACCACACCAGACAGGCCTGAGAGGATAATTGTTAAGATTAAGATTTAATCTTAACTTTAAACTTAAGATTTCTTGAGAATGATTTTAACATTAGTTGATTAGTTTTGAGCCGAATGCAAAGGCTCTTTATCAATTTTAATTTTCTAATATTTCCCTCATTGCAACTATTAACTCTCAGTGTGGTTTTAAATGTCTAAAATCTATCCTTACATCTCCACTGGATTTGAATTTTCAAAACTGAAACATCAAGGTGCTTGCTAATTCTGAATACACACACTCTCTCTTTAAAAATTCTCAAGTGCTAATGGTAGAATTAAAAAGCAAATATGGCCCTGGCCAGTGTGGATCAGCTGGTTGGGCGTCATCCCATGCACTGAAAGGTTGTGGGTTCAATTGCCAGTCAAGGCACATGCCCAGGTTGCGGCCTCGATCTCTGGTAGGGGGCATGCAGGAGGCAGCTGACTGATGTTTCAATGTTTTGCTCTCAGAGATGTTTCTCTCTCTCTCTCTCTCCCTCTCCCTTCTTCTCTCTCTAAAAATCAATAAAAACATAAAAATAATAAAGGTTCCATGATCTGCAAACTGGCTCCTTACAATGTGGAACGTAAGTACTAAGATTTAAAATGTTGTACCTGTGGACAAGTTAATCTGTAATTCTAAACAGTACTTCTATTACAATTAAACAGAACAAGTTAAAATTGAGTATCTAGGAGAAAACTAAGTAGTGGCTGATTTAAGCCTGACAAACATCTATCACAGTATTTTTAAGTCTCACCTGCAGCATTAGCGCCAGACTGACTGTCCTGGGAATCATCGTTGCCTTCTGGAGCAGGGTGCGAGGAGGGGGATGGAGCTGTTTTAGTTCTTTGTTTGCTTGTCTTTCTTTCCACTTGACATTCATCATCTTCATCATCTTCACTTTCACTGAGATCATCAAAGCCAAAATACTTAATTTTGTAATTGGAACTCCCAGAACCTCCTTCATCACCTCCTGTCTCATCATGATCTTCAAAGCCAAAAAATTCAAGTTTAACATCCTTTTTGGATTTAGTATTACTAGGTCGAAATCTAGTAGTGGTCTTAGAAGTTGCAATGTCTGCCTTTTTCCTTAGACGGCCAGCTTCCCCCAGATCGGCAGGCGCCGACGCAGTGAACTCGTCCATGCTGCGTTCCATAGTATCCTGTATGGTAACGTTGCAGACTGACAAGCAGGATGGATGTAAAACAGTGTAATCTCTAGTCCGTCCAACTGTCCCTCTAAAACTGGTCCCACAACTCACACTGCCTTTCTTCGCCTGATTCAGGCCATCTTTACTCGACTCGCTGTTTGCTTTGGCTAAGGCCTGACTGGTGCCGTCTAATAGCTTATCAAAATTCGATGTTCCTTGGGAGGATTTTGTTTTATTGACCCTACAGTACGTCCTACAGTTGCTTGGCCTAAGAACGCTTTGCATGATGTCTTCTTCCTCAATGGCTTCATTTAGATTTTCCAACCGATTTTTTAAATCCTCTTCCTTCATCTCCAAAAGAGGATCACTATCCAAATTTAAGATACAATCTTCTGATCTGACATCTTCGAAATCAGTATCCCATTCATACAAACCAGTTCTCACAGACCCTCTGATCAGAGGTGTTTCTGGCGGAGACTCTGGCCCTTTCCCCAGCTGGGAGTTCCCAGCGTCGTTTGTTTCCTTGGGGTCATCACCTTTGTACCCAGAAGCCACCACAGTATCTGCATTGGGTTTCTTAGTACTGTCTTCAGCATTTTTGTAAATATGTTGACTATTTTCATATTCATCATTAAAATTCTCCACTTTATCTAGAAAAATTAAATCAAAAGATTAAAAGCAAGTGATATCAAAGTAAAAGTTAACAAGTAACAAGTATATAGGGCTAATTAATAGCACAGGCTCAATTAATCTTGAAATGATTGCAATAATTTTAAATTGTGACATTAATGTTTACATATTTGACATCTCTCCTTACACATTGAATATATATATATATATATATATATATATATATATATATATATAGCTCTCAAGTCTTCTGGTGACTTCTCTCTAGGCATCCAAGTCCCTTAAAATTGTTATCCTAAATTCAAGAGATTTCAGTAGTGCTAAGCTACTGGATTCATTCAAAACGACACACAAATGATTCAACCAAACCTCAGAGGTATAAAAGAGGCTTAAATTAAAATGCATTCAGTAGAATAAAAACAGTATAGCACAAAAAACGAAACATCCCAGTGTACCTGTATTTCTCTGGGGCAGGACTGCCCACCAGGCATGCCAGCTCTGTCTACAAACTACCCGAGGATCAGGTTTCTTTAGCTATTTCTGCTTTCCATTCTCTCTTCAAATCTTAAAAGTCATAAGACTTCAATAAAAAAAATGTTTTTTTAAACAGTGGCTCTGATGTTTAAGTGGCTACAGTGGCCATTTATGCATATCAGCAGGAGTAAATCTTAAACTGCCTATTCAGTTTGTACTTGAGGAATTCACTTTTGTTGTCTTTTATGTTTATCAGAGACTTTCTTTTTAATCCTCAGGCGAGGACATTTTTCCATTTTTGTTCAGATAGAGTGGGAGGAAGAGAGAGAGAAACATCAATGTGAGAAAGATACATTGACTGGTTGCCTCCTGTGCAACCCCAACCAGGGCCGGGGACAAACCACAACTGAGGTACGTGCCCTTGACTGGAATCGAACCCGTCACTCATTGGTCCGCGGGCCGACACTCTACTGTGGAGCCAAACCGGCCAGGGCCACTAGAGACATTTTAGTTAAACTTTCTAAATGAGAGATGGAAATATGATTCAAACTGTTACCATGGTTAATTCTCCCAGCACTTATTGGTAGAAAAACACTGGCAACGTCCGGCCACTATGGCTTACTGGTTGAGCACTGATCCGGCACCAAGAGGCTGCTGGTTTGATTCCTGGTCAGGGCACATGCCCCGGTTGTGGGCCCTATCCCCAGTGGGGGGCATGCACGAGATGGCCAATCAATGTTCTCTCTCATCGATGTTTCTATCTCTCTCTCCCTCTCCCTTCCTCCCTCTCTAAAATCAATAAACAAAAAGAAAAACACTGGCAAATATCTATGCCAAAAAGTAAAATTAAAAACAAGCAAACAAGAAAATACACTTACATTTGTTAATGCTACCCAATGGGTTTAAATTTCATTTAACTTGTTACGATTTGTACTTACTTACCTTTAGAAGACATCTAATTTATGTTTGTTTTTTGTTTTTGTTTTATCCTCACCTGAGGACATTTTCCAAAGTGGGAGGGAGAGAGAGGAAGAGAGAGAGAGGGAAACATCGATGTCAAAGGGACACATCGAGTGGCTGCCACCCGCATGACCAACCAGGGCCGGGGACAAACTGCAACCGAGGTACATGCCCTTAGCGGGAACCGAACCCGGGTCTCTCCGGACCGCAGGCGGACGCTCCAACCGCTGAGCCAAACCGGCCAGGGCAGAAGACATCTAATTTAAAGGTGTATCTGTTTTATTCTTAGATATTTCCCAGCTGAAGGTAAGGAACTCTAGTTTTCATAATCTCAGAAGTATCAATCACTAAGCATACAGTACTGAAAACCAAAAATTAAAAGCTGGTCTAAAAATCAAACCTGAAGAAATACCGCCACTGCTTTTGTAACCAGTGGACAGAGCACTGGCAGCTGAGTCTGGACACTAGTGCTGCCCTGGTTAGACTGGTTCTTGGGAGCGCAGGCAAGACCCCTGACCAGGGGAGTTTCCTCGGGCTTCAATTCCTCACCGTTCAGAAAGGGAGCCATGACCCAGGCTACTCTACATGGTTACTGAAGGAATATGTATAAACAAATGCCTAGCGAAATGCTATGTATTTAGCCACACAAAGGTCTATGAGATATCACTGAATATCACACCACATCATATTTATAACTAAATAGCATCCCATTGTCTTAATGTCACAAAATTTATTTAGGTTGCTTCTGACTGATTTATGTTATAAACACCTTCTGACTCAAAAAGTTTAAGTGAACAATAAACTTTATTATCTGTGTTTTTAAAAATTACTACTCCAAGCTTTACTTATTACTCCCATTTCCCCTAAAAATCAGAAAGAATGCATATTATGTTTTAACAATAATTATTCTCACAACTAGGCTGCCTTTCATATAAGTATTGTCAGCTTATCTCATGAATTTGTTTTAAGTGCAAAGAGTAATAATAAAGAGCCCTATAGAAACAAAAGTTACATCTAAAAGAGATATACTTAAGTTATATTAGTAAGTATAATCTATTCATGTATTCAATTATACAGCATAAACCGTACAGATGAAGTATTAAAGCACATTACATATTTTAACCTTCTGAATACATTACATAGATAAAAGCCAATTTAATCAACAAAAAGTTCTGCGTAGGAAAAGCTGCCCAAGTTCCCACAAGAGCACCCCAACATGCACAGTGAGCTTGCTGCAGCCCTCTTGGCCAGCCCGCATCCACAGCGGTGCCCTCGGAAGAGGGCCAGGCTCTGTCGCCGGAAATGCGACAGCAGCTACTTCCGCTGCGCTCCTCCCTCCAACAGCCCAGCTTGTTGGACACACCCTCTTAGCATCTCAAAACATCAAGTATATAAGGAGAAAAAAAGGTAAATAAAGATGACTTCTAAAAAGAGAGGTTGAACATTCCTCCTTTAAAATCTGAACTATACATAAACATATATGTGTATGTAATATATGTTTATATGTTACATGTTTATAAACAGAAATGCACTTCTAGCTACAATTACATTTTAGGAGTTAACTGGATGAATGCCAGCTCTGCCATTTACTGGCTAAAATGAGGTCTAAGTTCAGTTTCTTTACCTGAAAAAATGAACTAATAAAATATGTCTCAAGGGCAGGATGAACAGATAAAGGAACATAATAGAGCATCACACAAATGCAAATTATCATAGCTATTACCACTTTGCGATAATACAGAGTATGTTTTTAATAATCTATTAATAAGACTTTTTTTTTAGTAGAATCTAACCTATAAGTTCATCAATATTCCCTTATGTCCTGTGTCTATTAGCTTCACGCAAGAAATCCAAAACCACACTCTCAAGCTAGAGGGTAAAGGCTGGATGTGTAGAAAGTTCAGTGCAAGACTCAGCTAAGCACCATCTGCAATCAGATACTTGGTGCCTTTCAGTATCACTACATTTTAGCATCACTAGACAGTCGCTCAACAGTTAGACTGTTAGGTAACACGTAAGGAGAAAACTGACCTCAATGAAGATTACATGCATTTGGGAGTTCTGGACCGCACACTAAGCCAATAACTAGGTGTATAAATAATTGACAAGCCATATTACTTTTCTAGGCCCCATTCCGCTAATCTAAAAAACAGTGAGCAACCTCTAAAAGGTTAATTCACTGCCCATTATTCCCTTAAGGACTCTTAAGTTTGAAAGGAAAGAAGTAATTCCCCTAAAATAAAAATGCAAACATATCAGTACTTGCAATAATATGAGTGTATACATAGTTTTATTATTATTTTTTTAATTCTCACCCGAGGATATCTTTCCATTTATCTTCAGACAGAGTGGGAGGGAGGGAGAGAGAGAGAGAGAGAAAAACATCGACTGGCTGCCACCCACACGACCCTGACCAGGGCCAGGGATGAACTGCAAACGACCCTCTACTGCTGAGCCACACCGGCCAGGCTATACATAGTTTTATAAAGGAAATTAAACAGGTGAGATGATTTAAGCCTTCCATAGGTGAGGGAATTCTCTGAAGCATCTTAAAAGGTGGGAAAGAAAGTTTGATCAAAGATCTATGCATGCATTTCACCATTCTACAATTCCTGTGAAACTTGAAAAACTGTGCACACATTTTTCAGGGAGAGAGTATATCTATAGTTTTACCAAGTTTTCAAACCCTCTAAAATACATATTTTTTATTGGTTTAAAGGCCAAGAGAAGAAGGAAAATACATGCAGAAAACTAGTATATGTGGACTATGCAAATTCACATCTCTACAAAAAAGATGGGATCACTCAATGAAGGGTACTGAAGCCCTGCAATTTGGCTCAGCAGTTGGAGCATCAGCCTGTGGACTGCAGAGTCACGGGTTCGATTCCTGGTCAAGGGCACCGTACCACGGTTTGGGTTTCATCCCCAGCCCCAGTCAAAGTCATGTGGGAGACAACCAGTTGATGTGTCTCTGTTACTGATGTTTCTCTCTCCACCCCTCCTGTCCCACTCTACCTGAAACAATAATCAATGGGAAAATATCTTGGGGTGAGGATAAAAAAGGGGGGTACTGAAATATGCGGGGGGGAACCATTGGTTTCTACCTCAAAAACGAAAACATATTTCAGATGAATCAAAAACTTCAACATAAAAAATGAAACTAGAGCCCTGGCCGGTTTGGTTCAGCGGTTGGAGCGTCAGCCTGCGGTCTGGAGAGACCCGGGTTCGGTTCCCGCTAAGGGCACGTACCTCGGTTGCAGTTTGTCCCCGGCCCTGACTGGGTCGTGTGGGTGGCGACCACTCGATGTGTCCCTTTCGCATTGATGTTTCCCTCTCTCTCTCTCCCTCCGACTATATTTGAGCAAAATATCAAAAAATGTCCTCGGGTGAGGATTAAAAAAAAGAAACTAGATACATATAAAATAAAAGGGAATTTTTACAAAATTCATTACCCTGGAATGAGGAAGTTCTAAGACACAAAATCCATAATCCATATTAATTTATATAAAATCTAAACTCTCGCCTGGCGGGTGTGGCTCAGTGGTTGAGTGTTGACTCATGCACCAAGAGGTTGCGGGTTCGATTC